GGGAGGGGGGGTTCCGCCTCGTTACAGCCGGTCATCGCTGATAGTTGTAATATGATAGTTGTGGCATGATGGCTCGAAAGAGACTCAACAATATTGAAGTGTTCGAAGAAGACCTCGATTCTTGCACATATCTTGAAAAGCAGACAGCTATAGTGAAGAAAACTGATATGACGGAAGTGGAACACGAGGTTAGAGAAATATGGGGTTCTATTGTTGCTGCTCAGGAGGCTCCGGACCTTTAATTATGAAAATTACATAGATGCAGAAGAACGTTTATTGACAGCGAGTGAGTTGACAGACCAAAAAATTGTTGAAAATGTTCAGAATTTTTTTTAAATGCCGACTTGAAGGTGAAGATGACGTTGAAACTGCTGTTGAGTCAGCGAATGAAAAAAATTGCTCTGAAGCTTTAAAAGGTTTTTTATATATTTGTCCTCTACTGTTGATGTCCCAGAAACTGTTTTTCAGCATTTAAATAGTATCAGTTTTATTTTTAACGGTGCTACCTAAAACATGACAACTGTAAATAACGGATTTCTGATAGAAAACCTTTTTGTAGTGATCATTTCAATTTGTGCGACTATTTTGAAATAAAATGAGTTTATAATTTCTTTTCTCTATTCAGTATAGTTTAATAATTCAGAACTAATTTGTAGTCTCAAGAGTTTCGTTGTTCTGCTTTTTGACCTAAAAATGATATATATATACGCTGCTCAGTGGGCTCAGCTTGTGCTTTGAGCAGATTAAATCCACAGAACGGTCCTAATGTTGCAACCCTGAATTTTATCTGTAAAACTCAACATTTACAAGGAGAAGCTTCGTGACGCCTGTTGGAAGGTGCGGGTGGCTGATGGCGATGCATGACGTCACCTGATCCGCAGCGCGATACAGGTTGGATATTCTGAACCTTTCAGAGATCCATCTGTCAGGCCAAGGATATCAGCGACTTGATTGTAGATGGCAATTTTGCTGGTCTGGGAACCAGGACATTCTCCGCGAGGCTGTTGTTTAGGTGTTGTTGTCCCTCGAGCTACGAACGCTTTGACCACTGTCGAGTACACTAGGGATGGTGTCGTCCAGTGTACCCCTAAACGTTGCTGAGAACCCAAAAAACCTGTTCTACTCCTGCCTTCATGCAGTTCTTGGTTCTTTCCCGCGACATCAATGATTGATAATCGTCGGTGATGTCAGCGCCCAGGTTGACGCCGAAAATGTCTGTTGGCTTCCTGTGCTAGGTTAAAATGGCAGCAGTGTTGCCAGTAACAACGATCACTGCTTGTTCGACCGTTGTGTCGCACGCGGCTCGTCATCGGCTAGACGCTGTTCCCCCATGGACACATCAGCAGACGTGGGCTCCCGATGCCAGGTTCTCGTGATGGAGAGCGAAAACTGGCGAAGTGCTTTACACGACACTCAGGTGAAATGCGATGCGGACACTGGATCTGACCATTTCCTAGTTATCGCGAAGCTCCGCCTTCACTTATCTACGGCCCGATGAACATCTGGGAAAGAAACTAATGTCCGCTTTGACATGAACAGACTGAAGGAACCAGTCACTTTCTAGGCGTTTACAGATGGCGAACAACAGCAGATTCGTTAGAGATTTGCACCTGCGCTAACGTTAGCATCGGTCAAGACCTGGAACTGCTCTACGCTCGCCTGAAAGAAAGCACTGTCACAAGCTTCAGCAGTCAACGGGCGAGTAAGCAGCCATAGATAACGACGGTGCCATTACCTTTGACCCTGACAAGGCAAAGAAAAGGAAGTATCATCTCGTGAACGCGGTCAACCGGAGCAACCGCATGGACAGGCAACGATGGCTCGATCACGAAGCGCAAAAGTTGGAAAACGTGACACTGAAAGGGATCTGGCAGATACTGTACAGCCAAGTAAATATCATCGTCAAGAATTTCAGCGGTCTGCTAAACAGCAAGTCCAACGAGCCGCTGCATAATACTGAAGACCATTGGAAACGAAAGGGTAAGCACTTCGTGAAAAGCTCTTGAACAGGTCTGGACCTGCGGTAAACTTCCAAGACGATGAAGACTATTGCCAACACCTAGACGTTGATTCCTCCCCACCATCAGTCGAAGAAGTCCGAAGAACAGTATGACTTTGCTGAAGCTCCAAGTCCTCCGGACACGGCGGAATTGGTGCGAAGTTCCTGATGTGAGGATGCTAAATCATTCTCAAATGGATCTACCTAGTTTTGGCATAAGTCAGCGATCTCCGATTACAGGGTGAAAGGCGTATTCTTCCCGATTTTTCAATCTGGTGGCAACTGTACCAGCTGTCGAGGGACTACTCTGTGTTGGAGAAGCTGTTCACACGGATTATCCTTGGACAACTGCAGGAGGTCATCAGTCGTTCGCATCGAA